CGATCAGGTGTCCGAGAATGCGGAGCTTGCATGCGCGTATGACACATGCTCGGAGGCGGTTGACCGCCATACTCGGGACGTATCATCGTGGTCCGGAGCCGTGGCTGAAGAGCTGTCATCACTGCTTGACATTAAGGTTCCAGCAGTTTTTAGCTCCGACGTTCTAGACAATACAAGTCGGGAAGCTATCCAGAAGTTGAATGCGATTGAAGTGATGGTGGATCGAACTGGTTAGTGCCAGCTGCAAGCACAAGCGAAAAACATCTCTCCAATGGCGTGGCTGTCAGCGCGAATTCGTTAGCAAATGACGTGAAGTCGCTGAAAGATAGTGTGTCTTCTGACACATTGAAGCGTCAAGATGAACTGAGAGCTATGCAGGAGATGATCGATCGCGAGGAACAAATAGCTCTTCTTCTGGATGCAATCGAAGAGCAACAGGGTGCTCATGCTGAATACGTGACTACCGTGAGCGGTCTGGAATGGAGCACTCATCACTGTCACTAGAGGAGTCAGTGCTTCAAAGTCGTGTGAAAGTTCTCAAAGGACTGGCTGCAGAGCTGGAGCCCTTGACTCTAGCAGCAGCTTCACAGCTGGAAGACGATGTGCTGGAGACAGAGGAAACGATTGCAATTCTGGAGAGCATGTGTGTGTGTAGATGTGTGATGAAACAACCTTGCATCCCAATCTGAGCGCTTGATACGAAGATGCGTTGTTCGATGTCGAGATTTGCGTGGATGTCCATGTGGGGTCTTCGTCGATGGGCGAGGCGTCCACTTCAATTAAGACTCACGAATTTCATTCCCAAATTTTTACGGTTCAGCTCAAGCCAGTCTTCCTTCCCTTTCGGGGAGGACACTTCAAACGAAAACCTCCCCATAGGAGAGTCGAAGCGACCTGGGATCTGCCTTGAGCAAGCTGCACTCGTGGTATCAGTTGTGAGGGCAGTGGACCGACGGGTAGCGCAAGCGGCAACGAATGGGGAGGATACGGAATAAAGGTGTACCCCGCGCCACGTGTCGCCGTTGCGGCGGTCGCACAGTCCAAGCCCTGGGAGTCGCACAAGCATCCAAAAAAGGGGAAATATACGGAAATAAAGGCGTCCAAACACATTTTCAACCACATCATCGATACCCTTTACCGTTGGTGTCACGGTCTCCAGCCTTGGATAAGCATTTTGTCCCCGTAGCCACTCTTCGGACGTTACTGCAGCTTCTTTTGACAACGTGTCGAGGTACAAGTCGCTTTGGAACGTATACGTCGCCTCGTTGCGAGGAACTCGGTAGCTGATGACTTTGCAACTCACGCCACAACTCGTTCCGCTCGTACTGAAATTTAACACGCGTGCAACTTCACACACATTCAATTCACATATTAACTTGGGTAAAAGCGCCGCTGAAAGTGTCGAGTCGCTCGATGTGCTGCAGTTTAGTGCATGCACACAAGGTGCGCGCATCACGTCTACCTCAAACTTTTTGGCACTACAACTTTTCTGCCAAGCGTTAACAAGATGTCCATATCAGGATCGTAGAGCGGAAACAACTGGCCACCACCTCCTGCATCCACTCTTTCTCGATGTAAGCACTTGGCCATGCGTCGAGGGTCCCACAACTTGAGCTCTCGGTCCTGCCTCAGCGTATCGCTTCCACACGTGACAAAATGCTGCGTCCGTCCATACCCATCCACACCCACGGGTCGTGTTCCTGAATGTGCCTTTGGCACTTCGACGTCATCTTCTCACTCGGGTCCACCATCCTCACAGCTTGGCCCTGCGTTGCCGCTATCACAGCTCGACCATCTCAAGTCCAGTCCGCAGACGTCAACGAAGCGCCTTGTCCCACTGCTCTCTCCAAGCCCATCGTCGAAGTATGCACGTCATACAGTATCAGCACTCCTCGTCTCGAGTACGTGGCCTACAACGACTCAGCCGTCGGATGCGGCATAATACCCACTACACTGCCCGCTGTTTTATGAGAAAAACCGTCACAGGCGTCACAAGCTCTCCATCCTCTCACCCGGTGACCCCACTCGCCGGATCTTCACCGTCGCCACAGCACCGCCAGCAGAGAGCAACAGGTCTTCACGAAAACGCGAGAAAGCCACATCTGTCGTCACGCGTCCCGTCTTGTGTGTGCGCACGACAGCGGCCGCGTCTCTGTAGACTTCTGACTCTCTTTTTCAGCTGCGTCAATCCCACTCAGACCTTCCACTTGGATTGAGCCGCCATGAGTATCTTCTGACTGAACAAATGCAAAGTGAGCGGACGTCGCAGCAAGAGCGGGACGTTCAGAACTGGCACTTGGAAGAGACACGGGCAAGTGCGTCAAGCCTCGGGACGCAGGGGCGAGTCGCGTGCTCTCCACGTGACGAGACTTGCTGGACAAATGGACACAAGAGAGAGCGACAGAGACGGAGAGAGAACGAGAGAGAGGAGGGACAGAGCGCGTTAGTTATGCTGAGCCTTAGCAAGAGAGAGGGAAGAGGAAGGTGGAGACGGAATTGCCTTGCGTGGGACGCAGTCATGAATGTGCTGACGAGTCAGTTGCCCACTTGATTAGTATTCGATACAAAAAGAATAAACTTCTCGTATTACGTATGAGGCCATATTTATATCAGCCGGAGAAGATATTGTTTAATGGATATTTAAAAAAAAGTCTCGGTATAAACTCCAATCAACGGTTGTTGCTAGTTCATTTTAAAAATTTAGTAATCATTTTTTTTTGATTTCTGAGAATTTTTTCTTTTTGATTTAGTTAATTAAGGCTTTTGATTTGGTTTTAATACGACCTGCTTGTGACGAAACTCGACGTTGGTGTGGACGACACCAAACACTCACTCCTCGTTTGTTTCAAGCAAACAAACGGCTCGAGATGCTGCGTCGGGTGTCGCAGCGAGCAGGGATGTGGCAGTCACCCGACGCGGTTCTATTGCGCCGATTCTGTCAATGCACAGGACCGTGTGCTGCCGCGTCGACAAGATCGGTCCTCGCCACGCGCTTCGGCGCTTCGTCCGCGCGCGCGGTCGCCAGTCAATCAGACGCTGCCGAAAAAACGCTCCGCAGTCCGAACTAATTGAACGTTCTATTGTCCAATCAAACGCCGCCCACGACTTTTGTAGCCACTTGTCGCGCGTTGCGCATCATTGACGAGACGGCGCTATTGGCGACGATTGACGTCCGGACGTGGAACGTGGCACTGCAGCGACGACTGGAGGCTCAAGACGAACGCGTGGCAGCGGAGCTCTTGGGTTTAATCGCGAGTTGTAGTTGCGAACATGCAAGTGTACCCATGTGGACCGATTTGTTTTTTACAGTGTGACGTCAGCGTCTTTACGCGGGTTTCGAACGGATGAGATGCAGGAGCTCTTGAGACAGTTGAAGCGGAGATACGGACCGCAATTTGTAGCCCGCGTGCTCGTAGACGTGGTCATGGCTGTGCCAATATCAAGATGTTTGCAGCTGCTCACGAGCTGCTGCTGTACCAGCAGACGTTGTGGTCGGAGATTTGCTCTGGTACTACTACTACAGACGAGACATTGACGACGGGGTGGAGCGAGCAGAGTAAAGCGCTGATGCCGCCATCAGTGGTTGGCCACTTGATGGCCAAGATGACGCACAAGAAAAAGCACGGTCAAGTGCTGGCGCTTGCGCGCGCGTATTTTGCTAGTGCTGCGTTCGATCCAGTGCGAGATTTCCAGCAACAAGGGTTCCTTGAACTGTTTAAAGCAAGTGTGCACACGTAACAGTGTCCGAAATGTGGTGCACGTGTTTTCGGACTATGTGGAGAGAACGCGCCGTGCAGCAGGAGGCAAGGTGGAGAGAGTGAGGACACGAGTGCTCGAGCGAGGCTTTGGAGCTGCGATTCACTGCTGTGTAAAGCTTGATGAATATTCGCTGGCGTTGCGTTGTTATGAAGTGATGGAAAGCACACGAGAGAGGCTCGTTTGTGCTGGGGGCGACTTACCGGTGGACGACGCGATCGACGAAGCTGCAGAGAGGGTTGGTATCGTGGATGAAGTGCTGCTAGCTGATGAAAATATATACGTCAACGTGTTGATAGCATGTATGGAGATCGAGGATTTCTCCACGTTTAAAGATGCGTTCCGCAGGATGGTAGCTTGAGGTGTGGCTCGTAGTGCTGGATTCGGGTCAGCGATTCGTTATCGTCACAAGCATTTGGATCCAGTGTTCCATGAAGAAGTGTTGGACGTGGTATTCTGGACAGAACAGAAGTTTGCAGGTGCCTGGACACTAGAGGTAGAAAACTATAACGATGCGCTTGGATGCTTTGCCGCTACGAATAGACCGGGCCAAGCCAAGGAGCTGTTCTCGCAAATGCTGAAGAACTCGTCGATAGTGCCCGGCATATTACGATGCTTGAGATGGTGGAGAGTCAGTGCAACGCCTCGTTTGAGGAGGCGTTTAATCTCATGGACGTGTTACTTGAGTGGAAGCTAACATCGAATCTTCAGGTGTTCACATCGCTGCTGTCCATCTACATGCGCCCTCGTGAAGTAGGCAATGCTGTTGCGCTCATTGGTGCAATGGGAGAGCATGGTATCGTTCAGGATGTGAAGACATTCACGACTGTAGCGTTCATTCATGCATCCCGCGGTGACTTGAAGGCTGTGGAAGACGTTTTACGAGATATGGCTAGTCAAGGTGTGTTGCTACCGACAGGATGTTCTTTGACTACGTCCTCAACGCACTGTACGGGTCGTGCGGTATCGACATGTGTTTCTCGCTCTTGCGTGAGCTGAGTGCAAAGGAGCTGGCGATTCCAGACGGGCTGTACATCTCGCTAACTGATCTCGGTACCACGATTGGTTTGATTGAGCGCACGGTGCATATTGCGTACAACAAGGAGTGCGAAGGCTACCATCTCTCATCGAAGCAGTTGTACGCGTTGATGATGCGTTGTCACTCGGACGGCGAGATTTCGGAGTTTGTGCGGACGTTTGTGCTGTTACACCAGGGCGTGCCGCCCCAGACTCCGTGCGTTGAGGTGGAAATGTATGAAGATTTGATATCGGTGCTGACGCAATTCAGTCGCAAAAACGAAGTCCCGAAAGTGCAGGAGCTGGCTAGATCAGTGGGGTGCACTGATTTGATTGCTTGAGCGTATTTGTTGGTGCGCTTTGCTGTGACGCGCTCAAGGCATATTTACCCACAAAATCACGGTCCGTATGTTCTTCTTTCACACGGCATTTCATTGTTTTTGTTCCATCTATGCTAATGTCCGGAGCCGACGTACTGCTCAAGCTGCTTAAGCAGGGGTTGGTAGAGCTTTTCGTTCGCTTGAACAGCCCAAACAAAGTCCAAATGGCTAAAGCTGCTGATCTCTTTCTCATAGACAATTGTGCTGGACAGCAACGCAGATCGTAACTGATCGATGTCAGCTCGAGTGGCGAAGATGTCGTTTCCATCAGTAAATAATCCAGTGCGAGGGTACTCCATGCTGCTAATGGGAAAATCTGGTGGGTCAAAGCTGCCGTACTTGACTTTGTTGGTGCACATGTTTTCGGACACAGGTGAATGCCAAGCGTGCGAGGACATCTGCAGCCATAGTCGAGCGCTGAAAAGGTGTTTTCGCGGATGCTTTGGGCATAGTGGCGCATGCTCTTGACGGAGGTTCCTGAGGGCACATCTGAAGCGCAATCGCCTATACGAGATGCGTTCAAGTTCTCCGTAGATTTGATTACGAGTGCGAACCCCGAGGCGCACAATTTCGGACCCATGTGACATGCAGCCGGTTGAATGCTTTTTTGTAGCAACGCGATATGCGAAAGAGCTGGACTTGACCGGAGGCCTCGAGGACCTTGTCGAAGTAGGCACGAGCAAGGAGCTTGAACGTCCTCGAATCTGTATTGCCTAGATAGGCAACAGGTCCCAGAGCCGCACAATAGGACACGGATCGAGCAAGGGTCTGGTTTTTGCAGCAAACGCGAAGAATGCCTGAGTTGACCCCTGCGAATACCCTACAAGAGCCAGTGTCTCCCGTCCCGACGTCTCCAGAGCATAGTTGAGCGCTGCTGGCACGTCAAACTGCCCATGTCTTTCCACAAAAGGCCCAGAACGCAGTGTCTTTGGTCGTGTACTTAACGTGGCTGGACGAGTACGTATTGCCGCGATCATTCCCAAGCCAGACATCGTAGCCAGCATCAGCAAGCACGTAGGCGAGACTGTGGTTCCGGGAGTCGCACACCCATGCGAAACTACTGGCCACCATTTCATGCTGAACGAAAACAGCTGGTTTGTTTCGGTCTGCCTTGTCGTTGTCGGTGGTATCTGCTTGGCTTTCTCTGTACGACATTGGTAAGCGATGCATGGAGAAGATGTATTTATCTATTGTCGTGACATTGTGCATCTCCACTACGTAGCCACGCGCTTGAACGAGCTCAACAGTGGACTTCCCAGCATCTGGATCGAGGTCTAGCTCAGCTGCCGTGACTTTGTCGAAGTGCAAGAGCGAGTGAGCCAAAGCAAGCAGCGCGAGTTCCGAGCACAAGACCACGAGGGCTTTGTCTCGAGATGAAAAACCTTCTGCAGTGTTGACAGGATGACGTTTACGATAATGAATGTGCGGCACCAAGTCACGTGACACCGAAGAATGCACAGCACAGATTCGTGCACTTTCGTTCGCCTTCTGTCTTGTGGTCTTCCTTGGCGTCTCCTTTGTCATTTGCACCTCATTAGTTGTCGTCCCCTTTACTGCCGCCGACTTTCCATCATTTGACTGCTACAAGAGCTCGATGATCCATTCAATTGGGCGAGCAGCACCTCTGCTCAACGTCCGCTATGTAACCGTCATCGTCATCATCATCATTTTGATTACTCGTGTCGTTTCGTTCACTGCCATAATCAGCCCAAGGGCTCGTCTGCTGCTGCGTGCGACTTGAGACCGTGTTTTCTGTCGAAAATGCCACATGTGTACGCATTTCGATCAAAAATAGAATCCGAAACGCTCCCGCGGCAACTCTTAACGTCGCATAGGTGATAGGATATCAGAGACTAGTGACTGAATGTAGAGAGTGCTGACATAATGCAGAGAGTGCTGACTGGAGATGACGTTGTGCAGGTGTTTATTTTACTTATTTTGACTACTATTTTATAGGTCAGGTAGGTAAAGATGACGTGAGCCATGTAGTCGGTCTTGGGACGAGGTACATGAGATGACCAGACCTCAGTATAGAAGAACAAGTGAGAGACTGCAGGAAGTATAGTCGCTTGATGGGTTGAACAAGCATGGAGAGTACGCCTGATCGGTGAGAGGCGTACTTACTCGCACGTCGCAGACTTGGGTCGGTGCATCTCACGGTTCGGAACAAAGGCATGAGCGAGGACGACTTCATTCTGAAAAAATCGACATCAGCAACACTCGAGTCTTCAACACAATCGCATTGACAACTTAACCAGTTTGAATGATCATGGTGAGTGCATGATTCCTTCTGTCGATCTATCAATTTACTTGTTGCTGACGTTTCTCTTCTGTGTGCATGTGTTTACTAGTGGATTACTATCGAGATCCAGAACTTGTACAACCTCGTTGAAGAGAGTATCCGTCATGTACTGAGTGTGCTGTCGGAGATTGCTTCCAAAGCATGCGGCATCTACGAGAAGAGCGTTAGTCCCACTGATTGGGACTTCAACCAGCTCACCAAGCTGCGCTCAAGTGATGAGAAGCACTGCACCATTGGGTGTAGCCACGCACTGCGCCCGCTAAAGGAAGCAAGCAGGCACAACAAGTGCCATGCTACCCAAGCGGGTACTGCAGATGCCCATCCGGTGAACAGGTTCAAGTTGAAGCCTATTTGCAACAAGATTAATACCAACGAGTTCACACAGCTCGTTGCTACTCGCGATCCTGATGAAGATGGTGAAGATAGGACGTGGTACAGCCGGACACTGCTCCATTTAAAGAACAAGCGCCAACGCCAATTGAGCCACTACGATCGAGCCGATTCGATTTGTTCGACCAACTCAAGTGTTGACTAGTTTACACTTACAATGTCTTAGCCGTAGTCTAGCGATAAACGTTTTTAATATATCTATCTATCTGGTAAACAGGGTTCGCGACTTTATTGATGTCAACAATAAAAGCATAATCAAGAAACATGCGCAGTCACAGCAACAATACTCTGTACTGATGCGACAGCCTTCTGTAAACGCGCATCTATTATCTTATTCAGCTAAGCTCGTTTAATTCGCTTCTACAGCTGCAAGTCGAGCCGGCTGCAACAACACAGCTGACAGTTTTCTTGGAGCCACGTTCACGCCAGTAAGATTCACGTTCACCCGCACGTTCGTGGTAGTCAATGCTTTAGATGTAAAACTAAGTCACGCTCAGCGGGGTGCGGACAAGTGTTGTTACGAATGGAAACGTCAAGTCACATTGAAGCCTCTGGCAGCCTGGCGCGTGAAAGCATCATTAAGCGAAGGAGAAGGGATAGTGAGCAGACTCGAGCAGGGGATGTGGTAGTATTGGCTTCATTGTAACATGAAGGCACCCGAGGTGTAAAAGTGAATTCATTACATGGTAAAAGTATTGACGCAGCAACAACTTGTACATTGGTTCATGCTTAATTCGTGTAGCAATAGCCGCTACGTTTCTCGATATTGACACAGGACGCGCTCTCGAATCGGTTGTTGAAGTATATTTTACCCGTAGTTTCCAACGCCAATTAAACACAAGCAAATGCACACTTCACACGTACCACCACTGGACATGTACTCACTCGTGCCTGTAGTACCTGGACGATCAGCGCCTGTTGACTTCCGCTCTAATGTCCGTGCAAGCAGTGCCAGCGCTAGCGTCATGGCTTCACGCTCGCTCGTACGGGAAGACTTTGTCTGCACGCTCAACACAGCAAGCATCTCCGACTCTTTGCTATCAGTCTCCCACTCGATGAAGGCGGTTTCGGGGTAAATGCCGCGAATAACCTCTTCTACTTCTTGCACCTCTTTCTCGACAAGACGAGTCACATCCTCCGCGTACCAAGCAAGCATGAGCGGCAAACCTTTTTCTAAATCTCTTGTCTAAAAAAAACACCGGCTTGCACCTACCCAGGCCAAGACAAACAAAACACACGTCGTTAGTACCGAAGAATGAGCAAGACAAAACGAATCATGACGCTTACATTCGCAGCAGTTTCGCCGCCAAGAACGTCCCATCGAAGTCAACTTCAGCCTAGAACATGCCAAAAATATTACACGGGTCAAGACCTAACATAAATGGCGGTACAAGTCGCGCTGTCCTGCCGTCATACCTTGTAGCTAAATGTCGATGGCCCGACCCACTGTGACTGGACAGCATACACGTTATCAATAGACGGACGCGCCAACAGCAACTCGCGGATACCTTTTTCAATTTCCGGCTCCACTGACTGGCCCAATAAATACTTTTGATTCAAACGAATGAGTGATACTGCAACACCACCAAGCAGCACACCAATGGAAACACTTGCAAGGCTATCCCACAGCGGGTTGCCCGTAATGTGGCTGGCCCCAATGCCGCATCCAGCCATAACAACACCTACACAAGCTGATAAATCCTCAAGCAGGACAGCCATCATAAACGGATCCTTTGTCCGCGTCACATGCTTGTAAAACGACATGTCTTGGGGCTGAGAAGCCCTCAGTTCCTGTACCGACCGCTTCAGCACCCATCCGTCAATGCCAAAAGAAGCTGCTAGCACACCCCACACTTCTCACGAAAGAAAAAGCTCTTTCGGAGGATCCAAGAGCGACTGGATCCCGTGGACAACCGTCACCCCAGAACCTAACCAGAATAAGCCAGCCCGGAGATGAGCAATCCAAAGTACGCAGCACGTGTGTATCCATATTGGTGCTTTTTATGCGGCACACCCGATGCTTGCTTCAAGCCCAAGATCAGAATCGCCTGGTTGCCAGTGTCCACGAGCGAGTGAATTGCTTCCGAGAGCATGGCATTCGAGCCCGTCTTGAGTTACGCCAGCACTTTGAGCGTCATGATGAGTGTGTTGCCGACCATGGCTCGAAGATTCACGTCTCGAGACGTCGAACGGCACACTTTACCTGGAAAATAGGCCTGATTCACGTCCGTACGGAGCTTCCGCATAGGGTACGTGGGTTCAACAGCCATTGCCCGGAACGGCTCCTCCTCCTGATTGTCCTCGTCCTCTTGTCACTTTCGCCATCATCACCACTGCCTTTTGTACACATCTTCTTCTTCTTCTCCTCTTTTTCCTTCCTCTTCATCTCAGAAGCTTGTTCAGTATCCAAGTCTTGTCCATTAGGGACTGTCGTTGCAAGCCATCGGAGCGAAAGCGACTGCGTCACCGCGATCGGAGCTGGACAAGGCAACATGCGACGATGATGCATCCAAGCGACAGGCAGCGTGCGCACGCTCTATGAACGCCGCAGCGACAAGTGCAGCGAGAGCAGCATGTGGCGAGCTTTTGCCAGCCTTGGAAGCCCCGACACGTTTAGTGATGTGGCGCACACCAGTATCCAGCGCGCCAGCGAGTTTTCGACGGGTTTTATTTTTAGTATTCCATCAAAGAGAGAACAAGAACAAGAGAAAGAGAGAGAGCGCGCGTGTCGAAGTGCTACGATGCGACTCGTCGATTACTTTGTCGAAGTTGTTGCCAGCAACGTGTTTTTTTTGCGATGCAGCATCTGTTGGTGAGGCAGATTTGGAATGGAGACCTCGTGTACTGTGCTCGATTTCGCATCACCCCTTCTTTTCGCTTTTCAAGGAGATTGTCAGGTAAGTACAAACACAATGACGATACTGAGAAGGGAACGCTGTAAAGTGTTAAGTTTTGTATCATTTCGTTATGGATGGATTCCAGCTGGATGCATCGATGCCGACATCATAGGACGGAAGATTGGTAATGCAAACAAAGATTTATCGGGCGTTTGAAGAGTACAAGATGATCGAATATTTGCAGGTACGCAACCAAGACGAGATGGGTTTTAGTGTTTTTTGCCATGGCATTACTAGCTGCGATCCTGTAAATGAAATTGTTTGACAATAGGCACCTGTACCGTACTTTATCGGACTACATACCAGCTCATTAGCTACCCAGGTGGGGGCAGAAATGTTTGCATCGTGTGTCGTCGTGGGGGCAGAAGTGTTTGCATCGTGTGTCGTCGTGCACTTGGACAAACATAAAGTTGTGTCTCCGATTCCTCCCGAGTCGAAGGTTCGTTTGTAGAAGGGTTCCTACCCCGATTACCCGCAACTGAAGTAGCGGCCGTCCTGGATTTGCTCGAAAATGTCGTCCCAAGTTGTATCGGACACACCTCTCCTCACTTGCATCCTACTCCAGAGTGTCACCGATCTGCTTCCGACGCAGTCAACGAGGTCGAATTGACATTTGGTGAGGGACCGGTACGTACCCATCTATCAGACATGGTAAGAAGAAAGGGATCTCTGATCGAATGTACTGTGCTTGCCTCAAGCTTGAGATCACGTTCGAGTTGACGCATCTTCGTCTTCTAGCGGCCAGCAACTTTGATTCCAAGCGCCAGCTGGGTGAGTCTGCAGTCGTGAGGTCGCTGCCCAGGCTGCTGAATGGACTTGCAGGTCCAGCAGAGTATTTGGGGCTGGTATCCGCTTGGAGTTATCTGCTCGGTATCAATGGCGATCCCACGATGGACCTGACGTTTGAGGATACTATCAATTACTTGCAATGTGCAAGCCGTCCTATCCGCTTGCGGTTCTTGATTGCGACACTTCCTTACAAGAACGCTTGCAATTTCCCTGACCGACTGCAAGCTTTGTCGCCGGTGTCAGCTATGCAGACCACGTCGGAGAATTACTCGCTACCGTGGGTGGATACGCTGCGTGGAGCCTTTGCTGATATGTTTGCGAGCATATGTCGTGACTATCAATGCTTTGTTAGCAGTCACGGTCAGGAACCCGATACTTGCATTGGTGACAGACAGCGTGCGCTTCCGACAGGCAAGGACAACGATTGCATACGACGCTGTTCTTCAGCGCCTTCTTCGTTTACGCAGTTTGACCACAAGTCTTTTTGTGACACGGTACCCTCGAATCGGAGATTTCTGCTCGAGTTCACTCAGACACAACGTTTCGCTAATTTTGTGAACGGGAGCTTTTCGACATGCAACCGATAGCTGGATCCACTTCGTACGCGCTTTTTCATGAGTGCGTACATCTCATTCGCGAGTCCAGCAATGCGAGGGCGGCTATCGTGCTTTTGTTTGGGCGGGATAATTCACCAACGGAGACAGCAGTGATCGATTTGTCTTAGTGACATGACCAGAAGGCAGTCATGGCGTGAGAGAGAAGCCTTCAGTGACTGTGTTTGCAAGGATAGCGAAGCAACTACTCCAGCAAGCCCAATTAAGCTTTGGGGCATGTGATGGAGCTCGGCGAACATTGTCGTCATCTTTTTTTGGTTCTCGCCAAACGTGGAAGTGAAAACACGCTTGGAATGGCAGAGTTGTCTGAATGGGATCCGCCAGAGCAGCTCACGGTCGATATGTTGCTCAGAATATAGGCGGTCACGATCGAAAGTTTAGCTCGTGGTTACACGACGTGCATTGAAGAAGCGTGAAAGCCTCCGACTGCGACGTGCTCGTACGAAATCATGAACATCGCAGCGTCGATCGTTGCAGGGAACGAGGACGTTGCCACGAGACTCCGACTCAGATTTAGCGTCACTGCGTCCGAATTGGGATGACTCAGATCCATCGTCTGCATGTGCATGCAGCAGTACAGAGGAAACAGTGTGTGTCTTCACCACTAGGCAGTCTTCTGCCAGATTACAGTCAATGACAGCACTTGCGCCAATGACATCGACCCTGCTACCTTACGCCATGTCAATCGCATACGTCCTGCCGTTTCCCATCACCTCGTCGTCCGCTGCTGCCACTAAAGCGACTGCAATGGACAGTGACGACGCGACTGCAGTTTAGACCAAGCGAGCGATCTGTCGGATGAGAACCCGAGAAAGCGCCAACAAGAGCCGCTTGCGCCGCAATGCGCGGATGGCCACGCTCATGAAGGACGCGGCCGAGCTGGAGAAGAAAGAGCAGGAGCTGCAGACCGTTGTTGCTGGTCTGCAAGCTGGGGAAAATTCGCTGCTGGACCAGAACGCGTTCTTGCACTCATTAGTAATCAGTTGCAAACAAGAATCGTCTTCTCGAAAGGAGGACCCGTTGGATGCTGCCGTCTCACTGCTGCTCTCGTCACCACTGGCGATGGATCAGAGCAGAGTGGAGCTTCACACGCTGGGATTGGTCGGAAGAAGACACAAGGCGACGAGATTGGTGGAGGCACACATGTTTCGAACATGACGATGATGACGCTTCGACCAGGCAAACGGCGTGCCGTGGAGTCCACGCTGTCCACCACAGCAAGTCTGACAGTGTGCTAGTCCGTGTTTGGAGTCACTGTTTTCACCAGTTGAGATGGCGATGCTGTCGATTCTGGCACCATTCGCAGTGTTGGACGTGTGCTGCACGAGTCTTCGGAGTCGTGTGGTATGGCAAAGTGCAAGTTGGAAGCGTCAAAGTCACTAGCAGCGTTGGTGGAGACGACTGTAAGGTCTTCATGGCATGAGATAACGTCGTCGAAGCTGTTCTTTAACGTTTTGCCAAACATGCTATATCTCGTTGCCATCATGCTGCTGTATCGGCTGTAGCAAAGTCACGCTCAGCGGGGTGTGAACAAGTGTGGTCACGAATGGAAACGTCAAGTCACATTGAAGCTTACAGTGGCCTGGTGCATGAAAGTAGCGTTGAGCAAAGGGGAGGGACTAGTGAGCAGACTCGATCAGGGGATGTGGTAGTATTGGCTTCATTGTAACATGTAGGCACCCGATGTAACGGGGTGAATCGTTACATAACAATTTATAAGATATTGTTAATAGAATATAACTATAAGAGTTATATTCTCCGATTGTTGTCATAAGGACAAATATTCTGTAGCACTTACGAGTAGTTCCTAATTGGTTGATATAGGCCATTACATCAACCGACGAAGACGCGCCACGACAGACGCACGCAATGAGTGGTGAGCAGATAGTTGATTTACACATTTGTATTTAGACATAGTTAGATGAAGATAAATAGTGATTTATTGCAGACATTAACTATTATAAATACAGTTCTACTTTTTACTTTAACCAAGTACTCGTTTCTTCTTACCGTCTTCCTCGGCACGTACGAGTGTGCGTGAAGTTACGAGGCACCGCCTTATTCTGTCATCAGAATAAGTAGCTTGTACTGTCATCAGTACAAGCTTCAGGGTGCCCCGTCACACCTGGTAGCGCTTCGTAGTCCGTCCAAGGACCACGTTCACATCTAACATGAATATGTTGGATGATGAAGATGACCAAAGCTTTCACGCTACGCGTGACGGCTACTCCCATTTGAGCGATGTCGAATGAGATGCGGTTGAACGAATGGGTTCGACCATGGGCATCCATGCTGTTAGCGTCATGCTAGAGGCTCTCAATAGGGATGCCCAACATGCTACTATCGCCAAGTTCATTCAAAATGAACTTGACGCAGAACGCGAGAAAGTAGCCTTGCTTCACCAACAAGGTTCTCAACAAGCAGAGTTGTTGAGAGAACAAGGTGCTCAACAGTTTGAACTGTTGAGACAGCAGCAGGCTGCTGCTGGTGGGTCGATGCATTCGCGTCGACCCAAGACCTTGAAGATTGACATCTCCAAGTACAAAGCAGTCGAAGAGGACTCCCTCTTGAGACGGTTCGTCGAGTTAGACGACGCCATAAGGGCGCGTCGCATCGACGACGGGGATATGCAAGTTGCAATTGCCCAATCAAATCTGGCAGGACGTGCCAAGACTTGGGCTTTGGGGCGCAAGTTGCACGACCCATATGCGTTTGGGTCGTTAGAAGTCTTCATGTCGCGGCTTAAACAAACGTTTGAACCGCCTAGAGCTGAGTTCAGAGCTCGAACCGAACTCTTGAAGCTCAAACAGGGTAAGCGTGATGTGCACGCTTACGCACAACATATACGACATCTCACGAGTTGTATAAGTTCCAACCCGGTGGATGAACACACGTTGGTTTCGGTGCTCATGCAGGGTCTTGCGGATGGTCCCGTCAAGACTCACCTGTTCCGACTTGAACTAGATTCACTAGAACAAACCATTACCATTGTGGGACAGGAAGACTTCAGTCTGAGACAGACTCGCGCCAGCTCGACATCATATCGTCAACCGAGACGATATGACAGCGGAGGTCCAGAGCCGATGGAACTTTGTTATGTAGAGAGCGAGAAGGCTTGCTCTACAGACTACAAGAAGTTGCAGAAATGCAACAGATGTCAAAAGACAGGACGCTACGCTTACGAGTGTAGTGCCCTCGTCCAGTGTCTCGCAACACTGGGCGTAGTGACCTTCCACCCATGAGAAAGGGGCAGGGACGCGGGTCCGCTGTTGGTGCAAAGATGCAACAACGGGATGGACCGTCAAAAAACGAACAGGATCAGTAGGTGCGGAGCACCCTACTGGTCCAGCAACGTCAAGAGAATTTGTAGGCCTCTTGATGAAGGTTGCTCCCTACACACAAACGTTGTGCGTTGCTGATATAGGTAATGAGGTCTCATTCATTACCTTGAAACTCGAAGTGACGAATAAGTTGTCCCTTCGAGCTCTAGTCAATTGTGGGGCGTCCAACAATTTTGTGCGACGCCAATCGCTAGAAGATGGTCATTTTAAGCTCAGTGAATGTGACACACCTCCTACGAGGATGACGGTACGTCTTGCGACAGGCTCATCCGTAACCGTCATAAAGCGTATAGTGAAGATCCACTATACGCTAGAAGATACCCAATATGATGATGACTTTGTCGTATTGGATTTGGATGACAACTTTGATGTCATCCTTGGAATATCGTGGCTCAGAAGGTACGAACCACGGGTAAACTGGCAACATCGAACAGAAACGATGCCTGCCGCTTGTTCATCAGATGGCCATCTGATGAACGTTTTGGAGCGTCCACAAGCGTGTGCATGTACTACGAGTGAGTGCGATGGCCTCACTTGTGGTACGGTCGTTCGTACGACTGCACAAAACCTTAGTGTTACAAACGGTTACACTTCGTTCCGGCGGCTGTGAGGAAACACAGGCTGCGCCGAAGGTCCACCACTCGAATAAGTCGAGTGGACCGGGACAAAGATGTATCCCTAGCGGGGAACATCTAGAAGAGAAACAATCGACCGCTCAGGTTAAGCGAAACGATAATCCTAGATCGACTGGAGAGTCTTTCGTAGAGGATCTCGCTGTGGTTGCACAACCACAGCTGGAAGAAGTTAAGGGAATAAGTCCCGATATTATAAATACGGCGGAAACAAGTTTCCCGAAACCCGAGGGAATAAGTCCCCGGGAAGCCGAAGGAATAAGCCCTTCGAGGCCTGAGGGAATAAGTCCCCAGGAAATGACAGAGCCATTGAATGTCATAGTCAATGATGAAATCAAGCGTAGGCACTTATACACTTGATCTGATTGCGCCTCCGAAGTTGACTTTGGAGATCACTCAGTTGCCAACGCTTGAACATAAAAGGTTCTTGCGTGATCTGCGTAGTGGCAAAGTCAAGCAGATCTGCGTACTCGTCGCTGACGACGCGTGTGTAGCCGACATAAGGTCAGCAACAATGTTTACTGAGAACGAGAGAGTTCTCGGTAATTCATCGATGGACGAGAGCGTTCCGATAAAGAGACATGAGTTGAGCGATATGACTCCCAATCGTGGGAATCGCTCAAGACAAATCCTCTTTATGAAGATTTGGTTGAATTCAAGGATGTATTCCCTGAAACTGTTCCGTGCGAATTACCGAAGGATAAAGGTATTCGACACGAGGTCGAGCTTAAACTAGGCTCGAAGTACTGTGTCATGAAGCAGTGGTAACTGCCTCGTGAGCAAGTACTTGCGATCGACAAGTTCTTTGCCGATCGTTTAGCTGCGGACCATGTGAGGGAATCAACTTCCCCACATAGCTCTCCGACCTTCTGTGTGCGAAAGGCAACAGCAGGGTGGCGGATTGTGCATGCATTTAACAAGTTGAATGCTGCAACGGTACCGGCTCAGACGCCGATACCGAGGAAGGACGTAATCATTGATGGTATGTCAAAGAGTACCATCTTTTCGTCCATGGATTTGATGGATGGCTTCTATCAAATCCTTATGCGAGAACGGGACATACCCTATACCGCAGTTAGCACGCCTAGCGGCATGCTCTGGGAATGGCTAGTAATGCCACAAGGACTTAGAAATGCCTCTGCCACGTTCAACAGATGTGTATCACATCTGTTGAGACCAGTACGAGAATTCGCGCCGAGTTATTTCGATGACGTATTCATCCATAGTCGGGCTATGTATGGAAGTCGGATGTTGAGGTTCACAGGTACCACGTCCGACAGGTTCTTACAATCATGCGAAAGCATCAATTGTATGCAAACCTCAAGAAGGGTATATTTGCTGCAAGCGAAATTCCACTTCTTGGGTGCATCGTTGGTGAGGACGGTGTGCGTCATGATCCCGAAAAGATCAAGGCGATCACCAACTGGCCTGTGCCGGTTGATGTCAAAGGTCTTCGAAAATTCCTTGGGCTAGCGGCGTATTTGCATAAGTATTCACGCAATTACGCCGAGATGACTGTGCACCTCTCTCGTTTGTTGAAAAAGAACGAGAGGTGGTTATGGAACGCTGAATGTCAGCGCTCCTTTGATGGTATCAAGCAGAGCTTAATACAATCCCCAGTCCTAGCAATAGCCGATCAGGACAGGCCATTTCATGTGGTCTGTGATACCAGCGATTTTGCAATCGACTGTGCATTAATGCAGTACGATCTTGAAGGCGTTGAACGTGTCGTCTGCTATCAGTCGCGTCAGCTGCAACCAGCTGAGCGGAACTATCCAGTGCATGACAAGGAACTCCTTGCCATGAAGTATGCACTCGCGAAGTTCAGAGTCTATCTATTACGAGATAGACCCTTCGTTGTTTACACTGACCATGCGTCATTACGCACGGCAGTGAACAGCCCGCACCTTTCACAACGAATGGCGCGGTGGTTGTCATTCTTTGCAGAATACAACTTTACGGTCGAGTACAAACCAGGGCGAATAGAGGTCGTCGCTGATGCACTCTCACGTCGTCCCGACTTTGAACCAGTCGTGAAACCCAACAGTGAGACAGCCACTGTTGCGGTTATGACGTCCTCAGTCCCATCTACAACGTTGTATGATGATGTGAGGCGGGCATACGCCCAAGATGGTGAGATTGTAAAGCTGCTGACACATCTCTCCCAACCATCTCGAGAATCGTT